TCCCCTCCTGTTACTGCAGGTATATGGGGGGGGCGGGGGGGTTTCCACCTTCTTCAGACAGAAGCTTTGGGTGTTAGCTGCAAGCCAAGACTGGGGGTTGTGTTTGGGGTGTGCCAGTCCTCCTTCTGGGACTAAAACAAGATGTTCCTGGTTAGAGGGTCTTGCCCCTCCCCTCGGGGTCAGCCCGATTGCCACATTTGGAGTCAAAAGGAATTTTACCCTTTGGTCACATTGGTATGGACTTGGGGGAGAAGGGGAAGGGATGCCTTCTTCTGTAACGGGGGTATGTCCTTCTTCCTTGTATCTCTTGAGGACATATTAACAACCCTGGCAGAAGCAGGACAATGCCAGCCCTTGTTCCCCTGCTTTGTCTGTGGCAGTTAGGGTGGTTTTGGTGTCTTTGGGCAACATGCCTTGTAGTTGTGCAACAGAGCTGATTGTGCAGTATTAGGATGATTAGACAAAGATTTGCGTGGTGTGACTGGGATGAGGATGATTTTGCCTTGAGCAGGGGGGTTGGACTGGATGACCTCGGGAAGGCCCTGACAAATGTTAAACTCAAATGTAGTACTATGAAATCAGTGATAAGCATGGGCAGATCCAGGATTTGCTGAAAGGAGGTGTGGCATATCTCCTCTCAGATGGTGTGGGGCATGGAGTGAGCCATGTCTGGGGTGCCCAGGTTGGTGGGAGATGTGGGGGACCTGGGCAAGGAGCAGAAAACCTGCCTGCTGCGACTGCCACCACCACTTTTCTCAACTGCCCCCCTTTTCCCCAGTGGATTGGAGTAGGCACTGGTAGGAGGAACCTGTGAACTGCTAGAATGTGGCTCCTTATGCAGCTGTTCCCTGCAGCCCACAGCTGGAACAGGGCAGGAGCAACTCTGGGGCTTCCCCTCCACCTGGGTGAGCCGGAGACAGTGGTGGGGGTAGAAGGGGTGTGTAGCCTCACTGCCAGCCCCGTTCCCCATTCCCACTTCCCTCCACGCCCCACCCCCCAGCTGTCCTGGTGATAACTAATGATATGTTGCATTTTCATAGAAATCATAGAAAATTAGGGTTGGGAGGGAACTCAGGAAGCCATCCAGTCCAACCCCCTACTCAAAGCAGGACCATCCCCAACTAGATCATCTCAGACAAAGCTTTGTCTAGCCAGGTCTTCAAAACCACCAGGTCTTCAACACCTCTCTGGGTAACCTGTTCCAGTGTTTTACTGCCTTCCTGGTTAGAGAGTTTTTCCTCATATCTAACCTCAACTTCCCTTGCAGCAACTTGAGCCCATTGCTCCTTGTTCTGTCATCTGCCACCGCTGAGGACAGTCCAGCTCCATCTTCTTTTGAACCCTGCTTCAGGGAGTTGAAAGCTCCTATTAAATCCCTTCTCAATCTTCTCTTCTCCAGACTAAATAAGTCCGGACTAAAGTTCCCTTAGCCTCCCTTCATAAGCTCCAACTTCCTAACCATTTTCATTGCCCTCCACTAGACTGTCTCCAATTTGTCCACATCCAGTCTGTAGTAGGAACCTCAAAACTGGACTTCTGCCTTATCTGTGCAAAGCAGATTACAGACTTTGTCTGGACAGGAGGCAATGGAAGGCCAGTGTTTTTAGGTAAAGCTCAGGAGAGCAACTCTGAATGTCCCTGTGCTCTGAAATCATGTATTTGTATGTCTGTCTTTATGCAGTTCATACATACGGGATAAGCGTTTTCACCGGAGATGTGTACGGTGCTGGGACGGATGCAAATGTTTACCTGACTATATATGGAGACCTAGGGGACACTGGAGAGAGGAAACTCAGCAAGTCTGAAACAAACATGAACAAATTTGAAAGAGGCCAGGTATAAATAACATCACTCCATTATGTCTTCTATGTTGCACTCCTTAAACACAAAGGTGAACAGTTGAATATTTTACAGTTTATATATTTTACAGTTAGGGTGGCCAAAATCTGGAACCAACTTCCTAGGGAACCAACGTCCTTGCTCCTACCTTGGGTAAATTCAAGAGGAGGTTGGATGATCACCTGTCTGTGGTCTTGTGAACCCAGCATTCATTCCTACCTGTGGCAGGGGGTCAGGCTAGATGATCTGTTCAGGTCTCTCCTGACCCCAGCTACTATGAAACTATGAATAACTGAGCTTCCTGGTTGGACGAGACCATCCATAAGGATGAACAAAACTGGCAGATGAAAGTCCTGATGGAAAAAAAAAGATGCTTATTGCTTTTTAAACATTATTACATATTTTATATGTACGGTATATTACAGTGTAACATTGGTACTTATGAACTGTGCTCATGGGCGCTACATCAGACCCTGAGATATTTCTTTGCTTGAAGCCAATGGTTTGGACTAAATTTTCAGCTTGAACTTATATCGAGCCTTTTTGTTTTCAGTCACAAAATTGGAAGAACATGTAATTGAAGTCAACATTAACAGCCTCTGTGCCTCTAAGTAGCTCGTTTGAATCTTCAGAACTGGAGGTCAGCTGTGGTAAATCTGACCCATAGCACTCATTATACTTTATCTTGGGACCTCATCAAGTAACACCGCTTTTATAAGCTCTTCAGTTGTGATCTTTGAAAAATGGTCAGATTAAGTGTTCTCATTTAAAAATTAATTAAAAGGACTTCTTACAAGAAGCAGCTTTGTAGGCTTAATATTGAGCCTAATAAACTGGATGGGTTTCTTTCCTACTCACTAGTAGATATGCATGAGTAGCCAGTTGGATCTGTTGCCTCCAGCTGGTTTGAGTAAACCAGAACTTGGAGTTTCAACTGTGATTTAGTTCACACTTCATTGATGTGCTAATCATAAGAAAAAACAATTCCCTCCCTGCTAGCTGTATGGTCCCTGATGAGCAAACAGGGGTAAATAGTAGAGTTTTATTTAGTCACAAAGCTCAGCAGATACAACTCTAGGTACTCCATAGCCTGTCCTTGCCGGATAAGCGTGTGCCATTTTTGTACTATCCATTTCAGAGTAGAATTAAGTATTTTAAGCCTTTCCTTCCCTCTTAGGACAGATATAATGGACAGAGAACCATTTGTAGACTATTCTCCTACAGCTTTTAATTCAATACTCTCCAGTGAGGCTGGCTATATACTTTTAGTATATTCCATGGTGAACACATGTGTTCAACCAGTAGAGAAGCCGTTAAAAAGCCACCATTAACAGAATCTATATTGCTATTGAACATCTTGTAGGAGGACGTGTTCACACTGCAGGCAGTGGACCTCGGCCTTGTGTACAAGATCAAGATCTGTCATGACAATGCCATGCTGAATCCGGAGTGGTACCTGGACAAAGTGGAGATTACAGATGAAGATACAGAAGAAGTGTTTGTGTTCCTGTGTGAACGCTGGCTCTCTAAAAAGAAGGAGGACAAGAAGATAGAGCGGATACTTTACGAACAGGTACAATCGTGACAAGTGGTATAGTCCTGCCTACTGTCTGTGAGTGTTGTAGAGTTACCAATGAAATAAGATTCATACCCTTTCGCATGGTTGGAATCCAGCACGGCCCTCCAGTGATCTAAATTGGTGACCATCTGAAGGCTGTTCTTTGACTTATTCAAAAACAATAGGTGATTCTCAGCTGGGAAACCAAGAACTGGTCAGGCAGTGGAGATGACGCTTTTCAAAGCAGAGGGCAGGCTTCTTTTCCACCCTGTGTGTGTCCTTATGAAGGAGGTGGAATAGTGCATGGCAAGGCCAGTGTACACGATGCTACACAAATGCTTCCCAGGCTGTCTCTTCTCAGTGGGTAACAAACAGGTTTAAGTTCTCAGTGCAAAATACTGGGCCCTGTGGCCCCTTTCCCAAGGGGCAGGTGTTTCATCTGGTAGGCTGACCAACCCCAGTCATTAATAGACCAGCACTAAACACGCATTCGCACTAAAAATGCATGCTGTTTCATAATGAAACGCTCCCTGTGCCATCCCCTTCTACATGCGGAACATCTCCATATGCATTACTTAATCAGACTAATGTAGCTAATTAGTATTCCAGGTACACGTATTAATTAAAATTAGCAAACAAGATTAAGTTAATAGACCCCTCTTGCCTTTATGCAGCAAGGCAGAGCACTGAAGCTGATTAAAGTCCATTGTATTTAAAGGGCTTCCTTTACAAAACACAGTGACATTTTAATTGAAAGTTGCAACTAAAATGATCCTTAGCAAACAGGGCCAAGCTCATATCAAATGCGACATCCTAGAGGTAAGCAGTTACACCAGGGCTGCTCATTGGTCCTCGGCATCTAATATCGTTGCAGTTCCCAGCAATCAGTTCTGTGAATTCTTATGGTCACACCCACTATATTGCTCATATTAATTCCCTGGTAGGAAGAGAAAATTAATTAGTTTTTTAAAAATTGCAGAATTGTGGGGAGGGATTCTCAACTTAATTGGACTCTGTCACTGAACTTCCCTGTAACTGTTTTAAAACAATATAATATGTTTGACATTTAGGATTATTCAACTCTGTAGCATGTTTTCCATTGACCTTTTGTAGAGTTTGGGTCATAATAGTATATGGGTATGGACAGACTTACACATACACAAACCCTGATATAATTTACATCAGTTTTGTATATCTATATACATTGCACTAGGATCAGAGACAGATAAGTACTGTTTTCCCAGGTTAGTTCATAGGCAATGGACAACTATTACGGCACATTGCCATTAGATAGTGGGGAACAGCCTGTTGTTTGGCTGTAATAAATAGCTAGCCTGGGATAGATGCATACAGAGGAAACTTAAACTGGCATAACTTCTATCAGGAGAATTTTACCCCTTTTTCCTTCAGGGCTAATTCCCTACCAGAGTGGAGACAGTTTGCTAACTAAGGGGTTTAGGTCATCTGTCTGCTACTTTTTTATACCAACATAATGCCAGTTCCACTAGCGTAAATGTTTCTTCCCTCAAGGGCTTATGTCTTGTCAAGCAATTTTGGTGCAACTTGATGTGTTTGTGTTGTGCGTGGTTATTGCTCTTACATGCAGTGCAGAAAAGGCACAGCATGTTTCTTGCTAAGCCCATTAAGCCTGTTACAGTTACCGTTTTATAGCACTCCTAGTCAAATGGCAGAGTTCAGGTTATTGCAGCACGGTAAATAAATGAGCTGAAATAAGTTATGAGGAGTCACATTTATGAGAGCAGCATTGAGCAAAAGCTGCTCAGGGAACTAGAGGGATGTCTTGTATTGCTGTCCTTTGAGGTATACAGGAACAGCTGGCAGCATTGTGAGCACTCAACCTGATTATGCTCCCGTGCGTGTGTTTTAATTAGAACTATGAAGGCAAACGGGGCAGCCTGGATGGTGCCGATCTCAGCCTGAGCAGCCAAGACAGCAACGCAAACATGAAGGAGATGAAGAAACCCAGCTTGGTCGAGAGCATACAGGAAGGGTTATGTAAGAGAAGCAGGGTGTGGGTCAGGGTACATGTGCATGCTGTTGGCTTCTTGGGATGTTTTTGTGCTGGGGAAGACCAAAGTGGCGTAGAAAGGTCACTTTTTTTGACTGACCTGCTTCTTGCTGGGTCTTGAGCTCTGCAGATCTAAGATGGAGCATTGCTTGGATTTATTTGTGCTATTGCTGTAGCACTCTTTCCCAGAGCAACTGAGTAACCAACATGGAAGGCAGAATTAAATGTTTGTATCTCCAGAGCTCTTCTTTCCCTCTCACCTCAGTCTCTGCGTTGTTAGGGCCTGAGGAGGTTGGAGCGAGGGGCGGCACTAGGGGAGGGCTTTGGGGGGCTATTGCTACCCCAAAATTCACCTTAGCCCCCCTGTAGCCACCCCTTCCACCACCCACCATGCACAGCTGAGCCTGCCCCACTCCTGCCTGCAGGCTGCAGAGGCATGGCACTCCTGGCCCAGCCAAATAAGTATGTTTAACCAGAAGATATATAGCACAGCCCCCCACCCCACAATTTTCTCTCCCCCACCAGGAAGAGGCTGGTGCTTCCCTGGTTGGAGTTATTAACACAAATACATAGGGCCAAATTCTATTCTGCATGTAAGTAGATGTATGCAAGAGGCCAGGATTTTGTTAGGGCGATATCTTTTATTGGATCAAGTGTATAGTTGGGATAGAGTTACACGAGCTTTCAAATGCAACTCAATCTTCATCAGGTCTCCTAAGTAGGTTTAGGCACCTAAGCACAATTCTGTTTCATACAGCTTATGTCCCTGAAAAACTGTTGGTACAGAAGGTGAATGGGTCTGCTTACACCTTGCCACTTTTTTGTGACAAAAATAGATGCATTAATGGATTTTCAGGACTTGAATGGAGCAGGTAGAATCACACTTGAGTGTCTCAGTTTGCTTAGGTGTCTAATAAGTGGAATGGAGTGGAATCTAGTCTATGTTGGCATGGGATTTATGACCTAGGTACCTTGTTCCAGGTGGACCCAAACCCTCAGACTGACCACAGCCTCTTCCATTCAAAAACAGGCAAATTGTATTGATATTCAGTGATACCAGATAAGAGTAATGCAGGTGGGGCAAACAAAATACCTGCTTCTTCTCAATTCTATATCTATCAGTCCTAGGACTGTCACAGAGGGAAGGTACATGTGGCCAGTACATGAGCTTCACCCCATAGCTCTTTCTTGAATATCAGCAGTCTTAAAGGTCAAGGGCTGAGGCCCATCCTCCCCCAGTTGTGTGGATGAGATGGGCTGGTGGTGTGCCTTCTGTCCATGGTGGCCTTGGATTTTCCCCGTTGGGGACCCTTTGCTGCTCTGAAATCCCTCCTTTTGTTTTGTTTTCTTCCTCTGATGACCAGGGATCCTGATTTTCTCTGATTAAAAAGATCCCCAATTTTCAGATTTAAAAAAGTAACCCAAAATCCACGTTTCTGTGATTAAAATGAAACACCACTGACAGATATAGATATATATATGGTGGTCCCTGCAGAATCCCTGTTGATGACTTAATTCCCGGGCATCGTTGATTGGCTTCCCTGTGGTCATCATACTATCCACATTCTGTTCTGGGAGCATATGCCTTTGTTTCCCCATCACATACACATTTCTTAATTTGGTCATTTATTGGTGTCTTCATTTGGGCATGCCCTGGCCTCCTAATTTGGTCCGTCAACCAAAACTGGAAATCTCAAGGGCTGTGCAGCTGGTCACTGTGACTTAATGCTGCTGTATCTCATGATATGGGTACACTGTTCAAATTTCCCAGCTTATTTATTCCTGCTTCTCCATTGGCCTCCAACACGGTGTTTGCCTTGAAGGTAACTGTCACAAACAGGCTTTTTGAAACCAATTAAC